GATCTTGGGCACACACGAGTCTTTGATTTTTCTTCCGTGTTTTATCTGTAAGAAACTCGTACGTAGCTTGTTTGAATCAGTTTTCGTTAGCAAAAACTTTGCCTGCTTCAAATAGAATGATTCAAACGTCAGTTAAAACCAACTATATATCTGTCGGTAGAAGTCTTCAACAGTACTCGTCCGTCAATCACTTTGACTTGGAATCCTGACTCGTGGTAACTCACCTACTCCAAGCTACCAAGTTGGCCACAATTACCTCCACATTCAAACATGGACCAAAATGATAATCCACATCAAGACCAAGGAACTGAAGATGGCTTCAATGGTTGTTTTTCCAACCATTTTACTACTTTCTAAGCTAATTCAGGTCTGTTATGCTGTCAAGTCTTAGGCCTCAACTGAAAGTACATAAGTGTAATACCATCAAATAACGGGGAAATTTGTGGTTCTTTTTGTCATATTCACCAACAAATTTGTAGGCATACATATAGAGCTGTGTTTTTAAACTCGGATCGGACCGGCGGTCGAATCGGGAACAGTCAAGTGTTCGGTTCGAGTTGTTCTTCAAAATCGGAAGACTAAAAATCCGGTCAAAAACCGACTTGGGAAAAACCGGTTAAATCAAAGCATTTTTTAAAAAAAGGTTAAACTTTTTCAATATTATGTTTTGACCCCTAAATTGTTAAAACTTATTAATATATCTCAAATATTTCATACTTTATAAATGTTGTCCTAAAATTTGATGTTATTTTTCAATCAAATCCATAATTTTAATTCTAAACTTGTTAATGTTCATTAAATAATATAAATTGCTACTTGATTGTTCTAATTTCTTTGCATTTTCTTGTTAAATATATTTGAAACATCAAATATATATGAATATACCTTTATTAATATTAACATACTTTTAGGTATTTTATATACAATATTTTAATTTTTAAATAATTTTTATTTATGACATCATCCGGTTCAACCCCAATCGAACCCGGGTCGAACCCATTGACCCCTGACCCCTGAGCCCGGCCGAGTCGATACCCGGTCCGAGTTTAAAAACATAGATATAGAGGGCTTGTTTGGCAAGCAAGTTTTTGGCCAAGTTTGTCTGCTACAAGTTTTTAAACTACTTTAACTACAGTAATCTCAAAAAATTTCTCAAAATTTTTAAACTATACACTTCAATATATTTAAAAAAATTTTCTACAACTTCTACAATAAGTTATAGTAAAATTTTAGACAAACATTCAAAAAACTCATTTGCCAAACGGGACCGGAATTTTAGGGGGCTTCAATTTGAAATTTTTCTATCCAAATCTTTTTGGAACCGGGGACATGATTAAGTTGCATTGCATTATTTTCTTGTTAATTTCTAATGCTATTATTCTTGGACAAAAAGAATGCTATTATTCTTGGCCAATTAATGCATTTCACAACAATTGATTATTCCCTGTTTTTAAGTGTAGTTGTCCTAGCTTGTGTATTGCTCGGCCTCTTGATTAACAGGAGCACATAAAGGACAGTTATGTCAATCTCAATAATCCAATTAATGCTTTTCAGCGCTCTCAAAATTTTAATTTATATTTTAGTACGAAAAAAAAATGATTAGTTGTGGCAAACAAACATGTGTGATTATGAGTCAGCCCAAATTCCAGTCGGATATGAACTGAACATCTACTAGTATTTATGGGCAGATATGGACCGGTAGGGCTAGTACTAATTTGATTTCGTTGCCTGATTCCTATATCGCATCGAGTTCGGTACTTTTTGTATCTAGTTTCCAGTTCTTCGGTTTACATGGACCTTTAGATGAATAACAGAAATAGCAAACTCCAAACTTTGGTTATGGAGAGGACTATATATATATATATATATATATATATATATATATATATATATAGCTTCATTTTAATTATAGGGGAAGGATAGGATTTAGAACGAGGAGAAAACAACAGGATTCGAATCAAAAACCTTTAATTCCTCGAGTCTCAATTTTAGTCGGAAAAAATTTTACATTTGCTTGTATTTAAGACCAAAAGAAAGAAGAAGAGTCATTCTGTTTTAGCCATCCAATTTCTCCTTTCAAAGTCTGGGATAGCCTTAACAGATGTGGAGCTTGAGGAGAGCCTGGTGTAGGTACCCTGCAAATTCAACAAAAATAAAAATGTAACCAAACCAATAAAGTAAACGTCAATTTCACTTGCTCTCTAAAGACTTTGTAACAAGTATACTATCTTTTCTTCATTTATATTAACTTCAACAAATCTGGTATTCTGAATATTGCCTTATTGTCTAAACCTTTTATATTTGAAATGTATCCTTCGGTTTTAGTCAGCTTTTTATGGAATGCTTCAGAAAAGAACTAAGAGAAGTACGAGGATATAAAAGTGGTGCAAAATGGAGAAGTATTAGAAGAACTTTATGAGAATGTCCCTCCCAAACGTGGATAGACCATTCGATTTCTATGTGTGAACCACAACCAAGAAATTTAAAAAAAAAAAAAAAGTAAAGAAGAAGAAGATACAATTTCCCAAAACTCACCGGCCACTTTTGAGACACAATTTTCGAGCTTCTGGTGTCTCGAAGAAGTAGAAAAAAAAGATGATCCACAGAAACAGAAGGTAGAGGATTGGAAATGCTGCTCTCTGATCCATTGTTCTTGATTATTAACCAAGCCACTCCGGCACATCTGTGTTCTACCATGAAACCATAGTTTTTCCTCGTATATATATATATACACTCAAGCAACATGGTAGAGCAATGGCGACTTTCACTTCTTTTCTGTTTCACACGAGCGGCATAAAATATGGCTTATTCGTCACAAATTGACCGCCGCAATATCTATTTCCTGTATGTAATGATGCTTGTATTACTTTTAATTTTGGGTAAATAGTTTATTCAAGCAGTATGAGGGAAAGAGATTTTGACGGCTTCACCTTCCCCACAGTTCCTTGCAACAATGAATAAAATATATTACAGGACATGCATATTTCAAACTTTGGGTGCTAAATACTTGAATAAGTAAAGAAGGTGGGGGTTGAATTTTTCCTCGTGCTACATTGGTTTTCATTTTTTTCCTTTTTTTTTTTCTTCCAAAAAATATTAGAAGGAGAAAGGATTGCTTCGTTGTAAGGTTTGGAGTGGCCATTAGCCCACTGCTTACTAAACTCCATTTGAATTGAAGGTTTATGGAGATACTTACATCGGCTATCATTAAATAATTGTAGACAATGAAATTTACATCTAAACTTTCTGTTAGGCAACGTGTTCATTCCTTAATTATTTGAGCCAATGGATTATGCCATGTTTTAATCCCTTTGATGTCTCAATGGTCTTTGATTTGCTGCTTCGCCTGGCATTTCTTTCTTGCTTACTTGTTGGCGATTTCAGCATTAACTTTAGTTTTCTTCTCCCTTTATCACTGTCGCTGTTGCTGGTTAATAGAGGTGGCAAAATGGGCGGGATGGGCGAGATTTGCTTGGGTTTGTGATGGAACCGAATCATATGGGTTTGGGCCCAACTTTACCCATATGTGTTTTGGGACTAACTTGGGCGGGATCACTTTGGGATGGGTTTAGATTGATCCCGCCCAATACCCAAATCTATTTTCTACATATTTTTTTTCCTTTAATTCATTTTTATTTTTTATATAATTTTAATATTTTTGATTTATTAAATTTTTTTTTAGTTTTATTAAATAAACATGCAAGTGCTTTATACTCAGGATTCCCATAAAAAATTGGATTAACAAATAAAGGAAAAAATAGATATACAGTCATATTCCAACATATATCAAGATGACCAAGGTACTTAAGGTGTTGAATATTTATCCTCATCATTGTCCAAAGATGACAGGTCTAAATTGACTGAAATGTTGAAAATTCTTGTGGATAATGACTAGGAAAACTACTAGATTATATTCTCTAGTATGACTATAAAAATTGTTAAAGATAATTTTTTAATCTAAGACTCCGTTTGGATTGGCTATTTTTTCAAAAAATAAGTTTTTCAAATACAATGTTACAGTAATATACAATAACTCAAAAAACATCCCATTCATATTAGTATATCAAATATTTCAAAAAAATTTTATAGTAAAAATTTTTCATATACACTGCTATAATAAAATATTTCAAAAATACCCCCCAAAAATAGCTAAACCAAACAGAGCCCTTGTTATTTGAGCCAAATGGGTACCCAAGTATTTCCCAAGTATTCCCATCAATTAATGGGTACAATTGGGATTTGTCCCATTTTAAACCCAATATCAAAATCCAATACCCATCCCGCCCAAAGTCCCCATGGGCATGGGTAACCCATTGGGACTTGGGACAAATTGCCACCTCGTTAAGCTATTTTTTTTCCTTTTTCATTTCTCTCAACTCTTTCTTATTTACTAGCAAAGACCAGAATATGTCTAATCTAGCCTTTTGAGAATTTTCAATAAAAGAAGTCTTTAAGGTCAAGTGGAACACGATATTGATTTTTTTTTTTGTCAATGCTAATAGATAAAGAAAGACTAATTTTTGCTTAATTCTTAAACTTTAATTTTAGATATTTTACTCTCCTAAAGTATGAAATTCATTCACTCAGTTCTTAAAGTATGAAATTCATTTGGCCGCTAATCAAGAATTAGGTAATCAAATTTTAATATTTATTTCCAAACTTTAAAGATTTGATATGAATCAATATTTTAGTTATCCATTTTACCGCTGTCCAATACTGATCTAGATAAAATCAACTGATTTTTAAGCTGATTAAAAATGACCTTTAAGCTGATTAAATTCCAAAACTTAAAATGACTATTTCATTGTTTTCAATTTTAACTTTTATTCAAAATTCTGAAATTTAGTATTTGTTCCTTCCTATTCCTTTTCTTTGTTAATCAAACCATGCTATAAGTTATTTTACCGCCATGAACTTCAATTAATCCACTCACAAACCAATAAATAAATTTTTATGACATTGAAAATTCTTCCATAATATCTTGAAGAATCTAAAATATCGCAGCTTGATGGGGAAATTTTTCTTACCGTAGTAGCATCTAAATTATGACACTGATTAACGAACTTGATACAAGAAGAAAGGTTAACATGTCATTCATCTGAATATACAATTCTTAGACTCTAAATGTATCCAGAATACAGTGAATACAAGTGTACAGCAAATTGCTGCAGAACCAGGTCGAAAACCACTAGGTGTGAGGACGAGATCTTGGAGATGCTAATTAGCCAACAACCCTATGGAGGTGATCCATGTGGACTGCGAGGAGAGCAGCCTGGGTCTACTCCTCTGTAGTTTGAGAAGATAACACAGGAAAACAAATGTGAGAAGATAGTATACGTATGTAAATCTAATGAGTAGGAAATTTCTGAAGCACGATTAAAGCTGTTTAATTGAAATGAAAACATAATTGATTTTTTTCCAATCAGCATTGTAAATGAAAAAAGTTGCTCGATACTTGCCAGGAAGGAGAGTAGGAAGCGATTTTTTTTTTCTATTTTCTACCGCCTTGTGAAAAAATTGTATAGTAGTTAATATCAGTTGTTTACACCAATTACCAAATGATTATATTCTTCAAGAAACGAGAATGAATCAAGGTGATGAATTGCATTCTCAATTCTGAATCAATTACTAAAATCCATTCATGGAGTGGGGTAGAGGCAGTAGATAGATTAGGTATAACAAGATCTGAAAAGAGAGAGTAGAACTAGGGATAATACTCACCCCCTATGGCATTCCATTTGAGTAGCAACGAGCCGACGTGCGACTGGTGTCTGAAAGGAAAGTAAGAGAACGATAACCCACAATAGGGTGAAGACCACACCTAAGGGCACTGCTTTTCCGAGCATTTTGTCTTCTTAAGATTTATCTGCTGCTTCAAAGTTATGTAGCTAACTGATTTAGGCCTATGAATTTACAAATTTTGGCTTACGTTTTATAGGCATGGATGCATTTCTTTAGTGAAGATTTAGTGGCCTAAATTAAGTTGATTTGCCAAGTCTACTGTATCTTTTCAACTTTCAAAGTCAATTTGCTTAAACTATAAGGTAGTTGGTGCTCTCATGAGCCAAAATTTCTTCGAACATTCACCGAAGTTTACATTGATATATTTTCTTGACAGAGTAAACAAATTTAAATATTGCAATGATAAGATTAACAAAATTGTTGGTTCGTCAAGTTGACAAGGATGTATGAACAGTTTCTAGCAAGTATATTGAGACCAATGAGATTGTTGAAATGTCACTAGCTACTTACTTTAATGTGGATAAAGTTATTATGCATAGTTTGAATTTTGAAACATAGAACAATATATCTAGAGTCTATTTTAGATATTAAATAGATCACAATATGTAAATCAATTTTCATTTTGTGTGGTTCTGTAATAAGCAATTTTACATGCTTACACAATTTATTTAACAAATAAATATGGTACGTAGATGCTTATCCCTTCTTGTTGAAGGTGTTCCTCAAAACTTCTTGCTGATATTTCTTGAGAAATCACTGCTTAATTGCATGGATCAAGCTGGCAGGCTTTTATGTGAATCGTCAATGGCATCATTCAGTACATGCTATTATTCACTGGAAATGTGATCTCTTGGAGTGGAATCAATACCTTCCATTTTTGTAACAAAAAACTCTTAGTTAAAGGTTCAACTTTATTGTTCTGAAATCCAATTTAGTTGGTGGGATATAAGGTACTTGGTTTGACTTTCAAATTCCATTCTTTTCCTTCCTCCCTTTCTCCTTTCAAGTTCCCTTAAAAAAAAAAAAAAAAAGCCGGGTTCAACTTGATTTGCAAATGGTTTAACTATTTGCACATAATCTCACCAGGTGCTCACTCCTCTAATGAAGTCCCTGTATTAGTTAGCATCCATCGAGCGAATTTATATTGATAGCAAACAATATTATCGTTTAGCATCCTTTGTTTTTTTGTTATACCCTTTTGCTACGGTAAACTAGCCCTCCAAAAAAAAAAAGAAAGAAAGAAAGAAAGAAAATGCGCTTTGTGCAAATGTCATGCACAAGAAAAATCTTGGTTACGAATGAAAATATTTTTCAAAGACTTGAAGTATTAAAAGTGAATGTCGAGAAAGTAAATTAATTAAGGAATAAACCGTTTCATGTAACTTCTAGTTAGTACTTTTTGTTTCTGTAGAAGTCTTAACCGAAATTTTCTGATTGCAGTTGTCAAGAATCTGAATGCGTTAATGGTAATGTAAGGCATAGAAGTCACATCGAATACAGTTGTTTCAGATCACTATCTCACAAATTGGGTAATTAAGCTTCATTAATCCAGGTATAGTGTAGTAAACTTCATGGACCGGTTAAAAAAAAATGAACAAATTAATGAAATTGCAACTCTTGTACAATTGAATTCATAATTCTAACTTGTTATTGAAGCAATCCATTCTGATCGTTCTACTTTCTCCTTTGATTGATCGTTTTCCCATGGCCGGAAATTGGCAATGCAGAGAAGACAGAGAGAGAGTCTTTCGTCCTAAGGATGAGGGCCTCGAGGGGAGTCGTCTCTCGGTACTCTGTAATTTCAGAAATGGATAAGCACAAAGAATGAAGTAATCCTTAAAAGCAAAGCATATTGTATTTCTTGAAACTTTGCTGAGATTCAACTTAGCTTTCAAATTCGATCTTAAAAATTGCTTTATAATAGCAACAATTAAATTGTTGTATGACATTTAATATATGCTTGTTGATTTTTATGATGCTTTTTCTTGTACTATTTTAAGCAACTAATTCTCCATTTAAGGTTTGGATGTGTTGTGTATTATATATATATATATATATGTGTGTGTGTGTGTGTATTATATATATATATCTCACAATAATATTTTGTTTGGATACCTCAATTATTTCAAATAATATTTCGCTTGCATCATAGACACATTTTTCAACTCACCTTTTTATATTTCCAACCACATTTTTATCTCACATACATCACATCACAAAAAGTGCTACAGTAATTATTCCAAATAATATTTCAAATAATACACTATCCAAACACTGTAGTACATGCACCAGCACCAAATTTAGTCCAAAATTGGCCGGGAAAATTTTGAGGTCACGTACTTTATTTTCTTTTCCTTAAATCGATTACTAAGAGCTCAGGTAAAAACCACTTGAAAATCAATTAAAAAGGAAGACAACCGAGAATCTTAAATACTCACAGGGCGGACTGAGACAATTTGCGAGCAGCTGAAATCTCGAATATATAAAAGAAAATGAGCAGATTGAGCACCCAAGCAATTGTTGCTTTCCGACCCATTCCTCCTTCCCCCCTGTATCGATCCAAAGCTTCCTCAAATCAATTCTGAATATTTAGGCCTTAATTGCTCGCTACTAAATTCTTTACATTCGATCAAATATATATATATGGGTGGATAGGGGCAAGTAAATGTGGCACGAACCAGTATTAGAGCTGACAAAGTCTCAACCAGAAATATTGCGACTTTTTCAACTGAATTCTTCCTTCTGCTGTTCATGTAACACCTTAGACCTAGGAAATTAACCTATCTTCCTCACATTTGAATATTCATACTCAATCTGCATTTGACGTGTCATCCTTTGACGGAGTCCGGTAGTCTTCGGCTTTCGATCTTCATAATTTTTTTTCTCTCGTCTTTGATCCGATTGTCAACTTTTGGGCCTCTGTTAGACTCCTCCTGAACTGATCGAAAATCCTTCTTAACTAGTAGGATGTTGTTGAATACTAAAGCCCTTTACCAGTGATCAGAGATCTAATCACAAATGACAACATAAAAAGTGTATATATTAGGTAGTTTAATTAACCTGTCAAACTGATTATGTACTTCTGACTTGTCTCTTTGAGGTTTCATTCCATTGATCAATTGGCTAGTTCCGAGTCGATAAGAGAAAAACTAATAATAATATCCCTTGCCAATTGATTTGTTAAAACTGAAAAGGGTAAATGTAATAATACTTATTATTAAAAGAAAATCAGCACAAATGGTTTAAAATTGCTTTCTCAATTGGCACAACACCATAAAACGCGTGCATTTAAAAAATGATTCTGTATAGGATCGCTGACACTTTAATGTTAAATATTACAGACAATACATAAAACTCTCATAATCGTTACCTTTTATAGTTTGAAATTTTAAATACTTGTGTAAGTGTCTAAATTCTAAAATCAAAGGACAAAAGTACCTGGAATTTATGGAAATAAATGATAGACTTGGAAAAAAAAAATAGTAGTTAAGGACAGCGTTTATGACCTTCCTATTTTCTTTTTAAAAATTACACTATTCATTTGCTACCTTTTTTGTAGCTAAAAACGCGTATATGATCGTCCAATCGGTCCATCTACTTGACAAACAAGGACTTCGATCAAATAAAGGGTCAATTCTCCGAAAACCTGTTTTCTGGCAAATCCAACTTGTGATTTGTAGCCCAACCTAATCTCCCGGGACTTTGAATATATGGAACTCTATCTACACGACTCGAAGCCTTTGAAAACGTACTAAATCGCAAACTAAACCATTAGATTTCTAATGTTTCTCGTATACTCGATTTTTCAGCTCCAATTAACGGGTCAAATATTTGTTTTCCCTCTCATGTACAATATTGTTAAAACATGATCATCATTAGAGGTGGCAATATGGATAAATGGTTCATAATTGGTTTTGACTTAATGGATGGTGGATGAAATTTATCCAATCCATTTAAATCCATTTAATAAATGGATCTAAATGGATGGATCTAAATGGATTAAATAAAAATCAATTATCCATTTATAATCCATTTAAATATTTTGGTTACTTTTTTTTTGTATTACCATTTCTTGTAATATGAAGATACTTTTTTACGTACTTGTAAATTTTAGGTGTAGTTGGATGAGAAAGATGGCAAAATACTTAGATTTTTCATTTAAGAATTTAGGTAGTATTTTGGTCTAATTTAAGAACAATTGGTCTAATTTGGTTCCCGTAATTTATAAATAAAATTTTCAAATGTTATTTAACCTATATCATAAATATAATTTTTAATTTTTTTTATCTCATACACATCATGTCACAAAAAATTTATAATATTCTTTTAAATACAACCAGTGATTGGAAAATTTTCTGGGTTTAAATTAAAGAAACAGTGGTAGGGCGCTTGGGCTGCCTGGGGTAATTTCCTGAGGATCGGTGGGGCCCGCTCTCCTCGGGGTTGGTAGAATTAGTCGGGGTGAGACCCGGACACCTTCCAACTGATAAAAAAAAAAAAAATTAAAGAAACAGTGAGGGAACCCAGCTAGGAATAGGAGGGAAGGTTATGGTGGGGGACCGAAAGGGGGGGGGGTTCCCAAATTGAGTTCATTGATGTGGTCCGCCGCATGATTGGGGAGCATGGAGGACTACACTGTCATATATTTCTTGCTTGCAAGTTTTGATCATGATTGGCTACTTTTATTTGGTTTTTAAATAAATGGATATATGTGGTTTTTGTGGATAATCCATATAAATCCATTTAATTTAATGGTTTTACTTTGATCAACCATTTAAAACCAATATCATAAATGGATAATCCAAATCCATTTAATTATGGATTATATGGATGGATAAATGGATCTCAATCCAAATTGCCACCTCTAATCATCATCATCATCATATACGGAGGAAAGGGATCCTTGTGCAGACAACTTTGCAAGCTTGGGATTTGCCAAAATGAGAGCTGGAATAATGGTGTTTAACTGTTTATCACGCCTCTACTTTATGAAGACTTTGCTTGGCAATTGTTATATGATATTGGTCATTGTCACCCAAAGTTAGTTCAAGAGGGAATTTCCCTGATATTTATAAAGTAAGACATAGTCTTTTTCCACAAGCAATGTGTGATAATCCATAAATAACCTAATAATATTAAAATTACATTGAACTCGGATTTTTCACAGAAAAAATTTTCCATTTTCCGTGAACATATTTTTTAATTATCTTTTTTACTTCACGTACATTAAATCACTACAGTATACTTTTAACAAAAACTCCGAAAAATAACAATCCAAACGAGCCCTTAGTAATTTCTGTTTTTCTTTTTTTTTAAAAAAAAAACTATTTGGGCTGGAAACTTCACCAAACCGATCTGGCCCGCAACGAAACGTAAAATAATAGTCCAAACAACACACACGAAGCCCTCAATTAAGGGCCAGGATGGAATTTGTCCGATTGCGACTGGAGTAATGGATAGCAAACCCCGACTAGTCAATGCCTTTGCCAAAGGTTGCATACTTCCTTATCAAGATTTGGACAATTTGCCTAATTATAAAATCTTTGCCAAGGCAGTAAATGGAAATTTTATTTCTGATAAATCACTAGACAGTTTTCTTTTGGTTGTGTCTTTGGATTCTATTTAACTAGTAGCCCATAATATATTCTTTTTTTTTTTTTTTTGCTTATGATGTCAACTATTCTTTTTAACTGGCCTAATTACTTAAAAATGTTAAAATTTGATTTTTTTTTTCCCAGCCTCGTAATTGCTTCGCTGTATCATCAGCTTCTTCTATGAATTGAACTGAATTCATAAATTAAAAGTGTGATGAAACATATATTAGTATTATTCTAAATAATTAATGTCTTATTCAAACACATCCATTGTGTGCTTTTGTTTTTTTTTTTCATTTTTCTCTATTTTCTTTTCATCGTTCCATCTTGGTCCTTGCAACTGGCTCCCTTATTGAATTGAGCTCTGCTCCTATTGCACGCTAGTACTACACCTCCACAGCTGCCCGCGGCCACACCGTCTTTCTCCAAGAACCATATATAACAAACAAACTCAAAGGATTTTTTTTTTCTTTTTTGGGGAGCAAACTCAAGGAAATATACATAACAAAAGCTTCAAAAACAATAATTCTTCTTGAAATCCAACAAAACACGAATTAAGGCCCAAAATTATTCAAACCACCAAGAGCCAGAATATTTTATAACTCCCCACTTGGAAGAAGTGCCACTGAGAGAGAGAGAACCGCCAGGTTCTACTTTTTATTATTGAAATTCGTCTTCTGAGCATCACAAAGCAGAAATAACCCTATGGAATCTGACCCCGAGGTGACGGGCTTACTCGTACTCCTCCGTGCCTGTAGTTTTACAATATAATATACAGTAAAACAAATGTCAAAACTCAGTAAACAAAATGTAAGTCTAATAAGTTGGAAAATTCTACAATGCGTCCTTTGCTTTACGACGCCTATGTACGGGCCGGTGCATGGAGCAAAAAAGTGCAAACATGCTAGTCGTAAAATGAGTAGCTACTAGCTAGGATGAGTAGGACGCTGAAGCAGGAAACTTGAGGGCACAACGAGAATTATGATACTCACCCTCCCCCATGAAACGGCATAAGCAGCGCACGTCCACCTTTAGACCGAATTTCCCCATGTGGAATTGCGAATGGTGTCTGAAAGGAATCGAGGACAATGATAACCCACAACAGGGTTAGCACCACACCCAAGGCTGCTTTCCCAAGCATTTATTTATTTCTACAAAAGTTTTATCTGCTACTTCAAAATTATGTAGCTTACACTTACTGATGACTGATGAGTTACAAACTTTGGGTTTCGGTAGTTTTATAGACACCGATGCGTTTCTCCACAAGATTTGAAGGCATGATGTAAGTTTGCCACATCGACTTGACTAGCCAAGTCTACAATAATGGTTCCATATTCAAAGTTGATCCGCGTAAAGTAGTTTCCCGTCGATATCGCTACTTAAATCCATCAAGTTTCCTAGTAGGTTCATTCACTTTCCCGGATTCTAAAATTATAATTAAGGCATGTTTATCCCATCATGTATTTTTCCTATTGGGAGTTTGGGACCAATTCTTTCAAGGGATAATATCAGAAACCTCCCCCTGAGGTTTCTATTAACATCACTTAACACCCTTAAGGTTTTAAAAATATCATTTATTTTTCTTACTTTTGTTATTTGTGTAACAAAATTTTAAAACCCCAGTCTACCCTTTTGCTCATTTTGTTAAATAAAAATACTCCGAAACCACTCTATTTACTCCAAAAAAAAAAAATCATCACCTAAAAAACAATCTCTAGTTGTCTCACAATATCACAAAGTTATAGTCCATAAAAATATAAATTTGAAAAATAATAAAAGATATTTGTAAAGAAATATAATAGCACCAATTCAACTCTATATACTTAAAAATCGATTTCTTATTAACTTTAATTTTTTCCCAACCTATCTTGAAGTTGTACTAAATCACTATAAAAGTCAACTTAAAATAAAGGGATAATTTCATTGGGCTTCCTCTAGGTTTCATACACTATACTAACCTCCACTGAGGTTAATTTTCTTGTAACATTTAGAATCAATCGATAATTAAAAAGTACTATTAGGAGAGAGAAAATAATATGATTTTATCATTGTCCCTCATCTACTACATTATTTAATTAATCTAATACCAATCCACACATTAAAGAAAAATTCTAAAATTTGCTATTTATTATTAGAGATCAAATCACATATAGTATCAAAAAAATAGTATGTCATATTATATTTTTTGCTTAATACAAGATCCAAATTACTCTTTTCAGTTACATACTCATTATCAAATACAATCAACAACAAATAATCAAAAAATTTGCAACCAAAATATAATAGAGAATAAGTTTTAACATCATAAATATTCATGTCAATATATTAAGGTTAGTTACTAAGATTTTTATGGTATTCAAATTCACTCTTTGTAATATTTTGGTTACATATTTTTTTGATTATTTGTTGTTGATCATGTTTGGCAATGAGTTTGTAATTGAAAGAACAATTTAGATCTTATATTAAATAAAATATATAGAATGATATATTATTTTTGATGCCATATGTGATTTAATCCATGATGATAAACAGCAAATTCCAGAATTTTTTTAATGTTTGAACAGGTATTAGATTAATTAAACAATTTAACAGATGAGGAGCAATGGTGGAATCATATTATTTTCTCTCTCCTAATATCACTTTTTAATTATTGGTTGAACCTAAATCCTACAAGATAATAAATCTTAAGGTGGGTTGGTGTAATTTTTTAAAATCTAAAAGGAGGCCAGTGAAATAGTTAGAAGCTTCAGGAGAGGATTCTGAAACTATCCCTAAAAAAAACAAAGAAATGATACCTTACTATAGAGTTGTACTAAAAGTAAGTTTAGATATTTAATATTATGGAATGTAGCAGTACTATATAAAATGGTAAAAATAAAAAATAAAATAAGTTTCTTGGGTTAATGACAATTTAGATAACATGTGAGCTAAAGTTTAAAAGTAAGCCAAAACAGAAGGACCAAAATAATAATGACTAAAAATCTTAATGGGTCAAAGTGCACATCTCAAGACTTGTCATCTTCCCCATCCTCTCATCGTGGCTGCGACTTTGAACTTGCAATTGAGATGGCGGTCAGCTTCCACCATCATTTATTGGCCCTTTTCTTCATGATGAATCAATTGTAAAGTTCATTTTTTCCTGTGATTATGAATATAACTTCCTTTTCCTTTAAATTAAACTCATCAAAACCCAACCCATGATTGAAACATATAAACAAGGATACTGAAGATTCATTGAGCGACTGCCTCATGCTTTGGGGCTTAAAAAACGCGCCTTTGGGATTGAGGCGTACGCCCCAAAGTCTCAGGCATACGTCCGACAAAGCTTGCACCTCACACCCACTGCCCAGGACATTTTACTAACTCCCCACCTCAGGGCGAACTTCAAGGCGCCCCATTAATGCCTTTCAAGACACTTGGGCTACAATATACCTCTTGGTGGTTATTGTCTCCAAGCACATTATATCTCAAAGCAGAAATAACTATGCCAAACCCACTCATGGAAATATTACTGCAAGAGGGTGTTACTTAAATTACATGTAAGATCATCGATCAAAGTGTATTCCTGCAAAATTTTGAATTTTGTTTTTTTACTACAAGATAAATATGAATTGCAGGGATCATGCTCTTCCAAACATTGCGGTTTCTCGAGTTTTAGCCGCTGCTTCAAAATTATGTACTTAGCTTACAGTTTCAGAGACTTCGAGTTTACAAATTTTGGCTCTACCGTTCTATAGACATGGATGTATTTGTCAATTCAAGATTAATGGCCTACATTACAATAAGTCCCTGCATCGACTGGACTTTCCAAGTCTACCGTATATCTTCAACATTCAAAGTCAATTTTCGTATTATCGGTCCTTTTATGTTGTGCCAAAATTTCTTCAATCATTCTTTGTATCCACATTTGTATATTATAACTAGGAGATTAATTGTTGACTGTCACAACTGAACGTGTACAACGTTTTGTTATGAGCACTTTGTAAACAGAGGACAACGTGAAAGCCATCCTAGATAGCAGATCACAACATCCGAACAAAACTAAGAAGACTCTTCCACAGTTTTCACCCAGGTGCTTTAAAAAATTTCCAATTCTTGGCAAGCCCTTTGATGTCTCTTTTTATTTGTTTATTATTATCTTTGCTTTCTTGTACGCTATATTGACGGTTCGGTGTTGATTTAGTTTCTTCGTTTTTATAACTATGCATGCTGCTCGTTTAATAATTATATCTTTTTTATTTTTCTTTATTTCTTTCTCGTTTTCTACCAAAGATCAAAGTTTATCTATTTTAGCGTTCTAAAAATTTTCAATAGAAGAAGAGTCATTAAAGTCAATTGATATATATATTTAAAGATTTGACACTAATACTTATTTTTTTTTATTAGTGCGAGTAAATAAAGAAGCTAATTGCAAAGTCAAATTTTCTTTTGTAAGATAATTACTAGTAAATTAATTAAACACAGTTGTGCCATGCCATTTTTGGGGCCTTTCAAACCTACGTGCTAGAAAGGGTAAAACAACGTTGCTTCCCATTTTCTTCTAGCATGCAATTTCAACTATTAATCTTTTATGTGCATTTCCTGACTATTTTAAATTTGTATCCTCTGCCTAATTAATTACTAGCACGAGAAATTTGTCATTTCCTTTTTATGGGTATTTCACAACGCTAATGTAAGATCGCTTTGAAGATAAACATTTTCTGAATCTTGTGAAATAGTTAATGAGAAACTTAAGTACTTATTTCTCCCAATAGTAGGTATCATAATTCGCACACCACATTGGATGGTAGAAAACCCAAAAAGATAGATGGCAGAGATCTCGAATCCATTCGTTCTATCAAGCACAATTTTCATATCCCAAACATTCGTGCCCAGTTCTACTCTTCGCAGATGCTATAATGGACCCAACTTTAACACAAATTCTTGCCGACCCTGAAGTTGAAACGATGTAGGAAAAGTGGCATTTAATTTTGATGTTAAGTGAACATCTGATTGTAATGGAGCATTACACTTGCTTTAAGCCTTAAGATACAATAGAAAGATAAAACTACCTATGCAACGCATCAATATTATGCTTGTATATTTACTTGACTTTGGTAATGTATTTCTTCGTCTTGTTTACAACGCCAGGAATCACCTCATGGATGTGGAGCTTGAGGGAAGCTGTCTGTCGAGCCTAGAAACTTATGTGGAGCATCACTCTTGCCACCGCTAAACCTTTTCCCCTTGTTCTTACACAACAGCTGGGATCACCTCATGGATGTTCCCCTTGAGGAGAACCGCCTGTACGTACGCTGTGGATTCTGAAAATAATAAAAATAAAACACAGACACAATTGTAGAAAACCACTAAGGAGATATGGTAAGAAAGGTTTTTTTTTTTTTGCCGGGGGCGGGGGGGGGGGGGGGGGGGTGTGTGTCTAACATGGTAATTAAGAAAGAAATTTCATAAACCTCTTTTCTACGATTTTCTCTTTTGAGATACTGATTTATAAAACCCTCCTTTCATGAGAGCTGAAGGGATTTAAATAATTAAATTAACCGTTATACTTTGCTTAATTTCAAAGATCTTCCACATTAGCACTACTAATTAGGAGTGAAACGTACATTGGTGAAAGGTTAATGCTGGAAATTAAAAGGCTTTGGTATTCCTCTAGTGACAAAAAGCTTGGGATCAAGAGAAGCGGATGATATGTATTGCGCAATTCTTATAGTAAAAGTTTTTCATTTTTCTACTTATCATTCTAACAAAATGTTCCAATACAGATAATACTAGTGACAAATCAAATCAAGATAATGAGAATTGATGGTACTCACTTGCAGTTCCTGTCCCAAAGAATCCTAGTTAATTTCCGAGCCTCTGGTGACTCAAATGAAAGAGAGAAGACGATGATCCACAACAAGAATATGCAGAAGACTCCAAAGGCTGCAGTTGAAGCCATTTTTCTTGATTAGTACTAGTAGTTCTTAACTGTTTCGAATTGCTTGCTCTACCAACTGAAATTTCACCTTTTTGTCTCCTCTTGTAAGAAGACAGTGGCGCATCTGCGCTACCCAGTACCTAATGCTTTTTATTATTATTTTTATTTCGCATATTATACAAGTTCCAAATTCAAGTCGATGCTGATACGATCAATGAAATTGGACAGAATTCAATTGTGTATGCGCATATTTTTTTCCCCTATTTCTTGGTTATATTACTTCTAAACTAAAATAGAAAAGTTGGAAATGCTAAAAAAAGATGTACGAGATGTTGACCTCGTTTGAAAATATAAAATAAAGACTCTTAACTACTAGACTGTATACAATTGTTACAGATATTTGCAATTCAACTAATTCAAAGCGAATTAACAACATTTGGTATGAAGTTTCTCAATAGATAATTCAATCACCAAGTGAAGTAGTTCTGGATCTAACAAATTACGATTGCGATTGAGTTGGAACTTATTAGTCATCGCTTTTTGTATACTATCATTCGGGCTTCTTCTAAGCTGAAAAAGTCTTCGCTATCAAATGTGACCTTTTCTTTGTACGTTGTTGCACCTCCAAAAAATCAATGCTTAACAGTCTTGTAGATTGACTATGACTATTTGTAGAAAGAAAAATATAACAAAGTCGACAATTTTTTTTTTTTTTTTTTGGAAACTGATAATGATATATCTACAACTGAAACAGCAAATTGTTGGCACAAGATTGTAAACCCTGGAACCGATAGTCCACTCTTTGGTCTGGACAACCGTTAGTATAGGAATTTTTTTATACTTACATGCGTGTCCATTTTAATTTATGTCTTAATTAGGGTGAAACAACTTCCATGACTTTTTAAATTGAGAAAATCAATTCCGGAAATGTTTGGAAGACGAATTCACCTTTACTCAATCTCCTCTCATAGACAGTAAATACCAAATTTTACCTTATTTTAGCATTCATTTTCCGTTTATGTATATAGCTCCCAGACTCTGCTGATTGTCTCAATCCTATTTGGTCAGAAGTCATTATTCATGCATTCTTTTTATTTCCGTTGAAAAACTTTTTTTGCTCATTTATGTGCCCTACTATGGAATTTGTAAGGTTTTGAATAGCATGCAGGAAAGGGTATATTTGAATCCAGTTATCCAGACTTTGCCATCTTACTATTTGAAAAGTTCAAGAGTCAATAAGTATCAGCTTGACTCCATGGAGTTGGCATTCGTTTGGGCGGTTCCTTAGCATTAATTTTAACGCCAGAAATAATTCAATAAAACTTTGGATGAAAATTTACCTTGAGGATTCTTCTAAAAATATATATATTAGTCTTCCTAGTAGTGAATTTGTAATTGTGATACGAAGTTACACTTTTTTCTTGTTATTTTCACTCAAGGAATAGTTCAGTTTGGGTAAAATTAAAAAAAAAAATCAATTTTCAGGGCTGATTACATGATGTTTGGAACTCAAAACTCATGTCTTTTTTTTTCCCGAAACGTTAGAATACTTTCATTGATCTTTAAATAGTACTTTACAATTCGAACAAAGGTTCGATAAGTTATACATGTCGTGTTCAATAACACGGAGAAATGATACCTTTCTCATCCAAAAAATACCTAAAACATATGAACTAATATTTACACCAATATCATTGTTATCATTACTAACTTAGCAAAAGGAGCACGTTGGAAACAATGTCTACCCCCTCTCTATTACCTGAATCCTTCATTTAGCAGTACCTTTAGTCTTGATTTCTGACGTTGTAGTAGTAGCAAGGTGAAGCACTTGACACCATTTTCAACTTGATTGGACGTAGGTATTAGAACGGTGTAAGATTATTGTCTTGAACTGAAGATATTTTTTCGGTACAGACTCTTAATTAATAGGATATTGGCAATTTTTTCATGTAGCCTCAGTCAACTTAGGTCTATTATTCTAAATGTTTTTTTTTTTTGGTTAAACATGTAGAGATCTTGTATCCTTCATTAATTAAACTAAAGGGGATCAAACTGAAGAAAAACCATATGTTTGCTTCCATGGTTTTCAACTATTAGATATGATGAAACAAGACAGTCATAAATGCTTGCTTAAACAGAATATTAGCATTGGAAATGGATTAATACAAATTATATGTAAACTACATTGCAAGCTTCTGAATTGTACACTATTAACTAGAACATGTATTTCTGCAGTACAGCTTCGTTTTCCTTTTCTCGCAATGCAGAGATCACCTTAGGGATTATGTTTGCCTTGAGGGGAGGAGCCCACGGGTACGCTGTAGATCCGATAAAAAAAAAAAAAAAACACATTAGAAGAATGTATAAAAACCCCCAAAAAATAAAAGAACGAAATTCATTTAACTAGCATTCGACTTTTTACGCTCCTGAAATTCTAAAAATTCAAAAGAACGAAATCGAATTAGCCAAATAAATGATTTGAAGGCACTGAATTGGGGTGGGAGGGCAGCTGCTCCAATTTTTTTCCCCCTCCTTTTGGAAAAAAATCCTATGGATAAATTGACAAAAAAAATAAAGATGGGACAAAAAAGAAGGCAGGGTATGGACACTCACGAGGACAATTTAGCAATTAGCACCGAGTTTCGAGCTGCGGATTTCTCAAATGAATGGAATAGAACGATGATCCACAAAAGCAGGATGAAGAAAACACCCAGAGCTGCTGTTCGAGCCATTTTTTTTCTGAGAGTATTTTTCAACTGCTCCAAGTTTCTGCTCTTGTCATTTAGGTTTCATAGTTTCACCTTTTATACCATGTATTATGCTTCATTGGCGCTTGTCAATTGACAGGTTCAAATCCACTTACCCGCTGTATTTGTTGAAACTTGTAACTTGGAAAGTCTTCCGAAAGGGCCTAATAAATTGAAGGGGAAATTCCACAAGCCTCCGGTGTGGTTTATGACAATTTTGAAGAGCTTTCCTTAGGTTATGAAAACCTCACTCACCTCTCTTATTTTAATCTTTTTCTTAATATGTTTGGTACTTTGGGTAGCTAAATTTTTTCAAATAATATTTTACTTTTATCATAAACATATTTTTTCAATCAACTTTTTTATATTCTTAATCACCTTTTTATCTCACATACATTATATCACAAAAAGTGCTATCAAAATTATTCCATATAATATTTCGAATAACACTCTATCCAAACACATTCATTAATTTCTAGAGTACAGGATGAATATTACTAATGGTTAAAGTTATATTATAATTAATTTATTAAAATGGTAGCAACAATAACCCGTGCATAGTGGAAGAAATAAGAACCCACATACCAAAGTTAAAATTCAAATCTCAACCTTGGCAGCGAGGGCAGCATTATAGTGTGAGGATTTGAATCCAAAATCTCTTATTTGTAATTCCTCCCATCTTACCATCGAATCCAACACTCCCCATATTGTCCTTTTTACTTTACCTTCACCATACGTTCATAAATCTCTCCTCTCTTTTTTTTTCTTCTTAATTTGTCATTTCAATGCTAAATAATAAACCTCTTCATTCAATTTCTTTCATGAGGAGTTGGAAAGCTTTGATGTGCTGCTTGTGCGAATCAGGTTCTGATCAAGAGAAGTACTAGAAAATATACATTACATAACTTTTCCAGTAAAATTAATGAATGACTTTGGGCTTAATAAAAGCTAATGGACAATTATACGATAATGATAAATGGAGAAAGACGAAAATGAGATTGATGATTGATCCTCGCAGTTGCCGTTCAGAAGGGTCCTAGCTAATCTCCGTGCCACGGATATCTCAAATGAAAGACAGACAATGATTCCCCACAACAAGATTATGCAGAAGACTCCAAAGGCTCTGGGCGAGCCATTGTTCTTGAATCTTGATTACTAACTGTGTAGTACTATAGTGTAGTATACTTCTGAGATTACTTTTAGTCTGTTACCTTTTGAGATTACATGACCTTAATTTGTCCCCTTTTATAAGGAGATTACTGTCACTTGTGCACTCCTCATTACCTAATGCTAATAATTATTTTTATTTCGAATGCTTTGCAATAGAGTATCGGTATTGGAATTGATCCAAAATTGAGTCAATGTTGATACAGTCAATGAAATTGGACCGAATTGAATTGTGTATGCACACACACACACACACACACACATATATATATATATATATATTTTCCTATTTCTTTGTTATATTACGTCTAAAATAAAATAGAAAAGGACGAACTGGAATGCCAAACAGGGATAGTATCCTGTTGTTAAAATATGTTTGCCTAATCCATTGCTAAAGTTAGCAATTGACATAGCTTAGAATGAATGAGAAACATTTGGGTATAAAGTTTCTGAATTAGTCCTCGATCTAACGAGCTATGCATTTGAGTATAAAGTTTAGAATGAATTGAAACGGACTTTCAAAAAAAAAAAAAAGCTTCTCAATAGAAAAATTCATTTACCAATTGAAAAATTGATTTCAATAGAAAAAACGAGCTATGGATGCGATTGTGTTGGAAGTTATTGGTCATCACTTTTTGTATGCTATCCTTCAGGCTCTATCTAAGCTGACAAAGTCTTCAGTAGCAATTGTGACTTTTTTATTTGAAACTGACAATGGTCTATTTAAACTGAAACATCATATTGTGTTAGCACAATATTGACTTTTACCTAAGCCAAAGATTATAAGCCCTAAAATCTATAGTCCACTCACTCAACAATCATATATATCTCTGTGTGTGTATATATATATATATATATATAGAGAGAGAGAGAGAGAGAGAGAATTTAGCACGTAAAGATGTCAGTCAAGAAGGCACCTTGACTTAGGAAACTTTGCTGATTGTCCCATTCCACTTTGGTTAGCAGTCATCATTCGTCTATTATATTCTTCCTTTTCTGTTAGTATTTTGCTCATTTACGTGCGTAGCAAATTGAAAGAGTCAATTGGAATTTATAAATCATTGGGGTTAAAAAAAAAAAAAAATGATGCCCAAAGGTCGGGATTTCGGTGGTGTTTTGGGACTCAAAGTAAACAGTACACTAGTCTTCCGTCCTCTTGCTTTTTATGTTGTAACAGTTAAAAGATGGAGCACTAGGCACCACTACTTTTAAAATTAACTAAAAGTGAAAATTAGATCAATTTTAAGGTTGTTGCGGGCTGTCTTAAAACTACGAGTCTGCAGAATATATATATATAGATATATATATATATATATATATATATTATGAAGAACGCATAAAATCATTAAACAAAAATTTTTAAATTGCTTTAATATTAGATTAATTTTAAGGTTGTTTTGGGCCGACTCAGATTTATTTTAACTCATCTAATTCGAAACAAATTAATAGTATGTATCCAAAGATATCTTCACCTGAAGTATACTTGGTAATGTTCCTGGATTTAGCATTCATTGAGATGATGAAATATTTCTTTTTTTAAGATGGGCATATATCAGGAATTTTGTTGCCCGATGCGTAGTAGGAATATAGGATATAGCAATTTCTCCATTTACGTGCAGAATTCTAGCGTAAATAAAATTTTTGAACATTTAAAACATCATCTCTCCTTTATTTATTGAATTAAGGGATAAAAATTTAGCAAAAAAAAAAAAAAAAAACCCCATGTAATCGGTTCCATGGTTTTCTGCTAATAGATATATGATGAACGAAAAGTTGGAGTTTCCTATACTTGTTTAAACGGCTTGAGCATTTGAAATGAATTAATACAATTTACGTTCAAATTACATTTCAAACTTTAGAATTGTACAATTTTGATTAAAACACATTTAGTCTACTACGCCAATAGCTTCGTTTTCCTTTTCTTGGAATGCAGCAGGGATCACCTTAATTAGTGATTGTGTTCGCCTCGTGGGGATCTGTCCGTAGGTACGCTGCAAATCCAATAAGAGAAAATATAATTAGAAGAATATTCAAAACCATTAAACAAAGGTTTTAATTATTTTGCTATGTTTCTTTGATTTTCTCAAAGGAGTAAACCTTCCCCTTGATTTTTCTGATAATCCTAGACTTCCCTTTTAAACTTATATTTTAAGTTCGTTTAGAAACAAAAAGAAGTGCTCCTTTGGTTCCAAAACTACTAATCTCATAGACCTCTTTAAAAATAAAAAATAAAAATCCAAAGCTACTAGTTTCCTACACGATGAAGAAAATATTACAGGTTGAATTTCAAAATACAATAGAAATAAATGATTTGAAGGCTCTGAGTTGAGATCACATCGCCTTCTTTTTTTTTTTTTTCTTTTTTGAAAACTAATTACTATAGTCCAAAAAAGAGAAAAAAAAGGATGGGACGAAAAGAAGGCAGGGGGATGGAAACTCACGAGGCAAGTTTAGCAATCAGAATCAATTTTCGAGCTTCGGATGTCTGAAATGAATAGAAGAGAATAATGATCCACAGAAACAGGATGGAGATCACACTCAGAGATGCTATCCGAACCATTTTCCTTCACTATTTTCTCGACTTCTCCAAGTTTATGCTCTTGCCACAGAGGCCCTCCAGTTTCTTCTTTTATACGGTATCAATATGCATGCAGGGTACGCGTAAATTGACAGATTCAAAGCTGCTTAGCCGTTGAATGTATAACAGGAAAAAAAAAACAAGAAAATTTGAAACTTGAGATACCCTGAGAAAGAGAACAAATTTTGAATTGGCCGCAGTGTATTTCCCAGACTGAGATTTTTGACCATTTCATGTAGGACTCCTCGATTTCTAAAATTATAAGCACGTCCCAGTATTGATGTGAAGAATTTGTACTAATGGCTTATTTGTATCCAAATTGCATTACCCTTTTCTCTAAATACATAAATGGGACAATTTTTGCAGAAGGGATGCTGGTTGGCCAATTATAAAACGAGCAAAGTTCTGGATATATATCTATTTCAATCGTTGGCGTTTCATGCATTTTGAGTTATACTATTACCTTTACAAGAGAGAATAAATGCAAATGCAGTTAATAATAGACTGTCGAAATTGTGCGTTCTTTACCAATTTAGGACTCAAGCACTCCCCTTTGCAAGATTTTCTAGGTCGAATATGCTAAGGAAATTTCAAAATAAAAGAGGTAATTAAGTACAAATTTGAGAACCTAGCTAAAAGGAATTATGGGAAAATGTCGTAAAACCAACCCGCTGGCATGTACAAATATGCCGATTAGAATTCGTAATATACTTTAGATGGAAGTGCATTGGATAAGATTGTGGGTTGATTTAAAGTTACTCCAGATCATCCACTTAGCATTTAACAGAAAATTAAGACTAAAATATCTTCACCTAAATTATACATATATGAATAGTAATGTTTATGGACTAATTACTCACTGAAATGAATCCGAGATGATATTCCTGTTTTAACATCAGTGTATATCAAGAATTATGTTGTACCATACTTAATAGGATTTAACAGTTGCTTCATGTACATGCCAGAACTTAATCTAGGTCTATTAATTGCAATGTTTTGAAGCTTGCACTGTTAATTAAACCGATGAAATGATCAGACCAAAGTTTAACAGATCGGACCGGTTCAACTTCAAGTCAAAGATTATATATACACACACACCTATCCACCTACCCACACACACACACTTGTGCACAGAATACGATATGCCATGGACCAATTTAAGACATCATATGATAAAAAGTTAAATATTTCCAAACACAGATAAACTTTTAAAATTATAAATTCAAACAAATAAATTCATCTCAATTGTATCTACTAGAAAAAAAAAATCTTAAATCCTACACATATCACAATCATATTCTGAAATTAAACAAAATGCATTGAAACTTTTAATTGAACTGAAGGGATTAAATCGATGGAAAACCATACGTCAGCTTCCATGCTAAAAATAGACATGAATATATGATGAAACAAAAAAAGTTACAAATGTTAGTTCGAACAAACTAGAGCATTTTAAATGAATTAATACAATAACTATGTAAAATTACAATTCGAAGTTTGAATTCTATACTCTGAATTGGCAAATTTATATTCTAAACCTATAGCTTCCTTCCTTTTCTCGAAATGCGGGGAGCACTTCAGTGATTATGTCCGCCTTGGGGAGAGCTGGATACTGGTACACTGTAAATCCAATAAGAAAACAGTTAGAAAATGTATAAAACGCACAACAGGAAAAGCAGATTATATTGCTTTACTGTCTGTTCTTTGATTTACTCAACGGATAATCCTTCCCATTAATTCTTCTGATAATCCTAAACCTACCTTTCTTTTTCATTTTCCATAGGAAGAAAGAACTTCCTTACTGAAACAGAAAAGGAGGAAAACTTTGAAGTAACTCACTTTTAATGCTAGAATTAAACTTTTATCAATAAGTTCCAAGTTTAAGCTTTCTAAACCACTAAAAAGTGCTCAATTTGACTGAAAACCTCAGATGTTTATTTTGCAACTGTAAAATGAAAATATAGGCAATTTCTCCCTAATTCAAGAACCAGCTCTCTCCAATTCCAAAATTTATATCTTAAAGATCAATTTCTCTCTCTCTCTCTCTCTCTCTCGATAGGATAGAGAAGTGGTTGAAAAGCCTTCATCATTCTATGCAATTATGATCATCCCGGCAGGGCGGCCAAGAAGAAAATATAACACGATTAACAACCCTCAAATAATTTTCCCTTCTAAAGAATCAATCCCATGCAAAGGATCGATCTTTAATTCGAATCTATTTGGATGGGAAGATTAATCACTCTAAATTCGAACTCTTTGAGCTCCTAAACTTCACAAATTAAGTAGAACAACTAACCACATCAGATTAAAGAAATAAACGATCTGAATGCTAAACAAATTATCTTAATCAAGTCAACGAAGAGATTGCGAAAAGAAAGCAATGGACATAGATACTCACGAGCCAAGTTTACGAATCAGAATCAATTTTCGAGCTGAGGAAGTTTCAAATGAATAGAAGAGAATGATGAGCCACAAAAGCAAGATGAAGAAAACACGAAGATCTGTTCTCAGACCCATTTTTCTCGAGTATTTCTTTTTTCAACTGGTCCAAGTTTCTTCTCTTAATATTAAGGTCTATATATATAATGCTTGCTTGGTGCGTGAACTTACCTTGATAATTGTTTTTAAAAGCTATTGACATTTTGCAAACGTGTTAATTGACAAGTTCAAATAACTTAACTTGTTAAGCTTTGAAAAAAAAGTAAAAGAAAGATAAAAAAAAACCCGTTTACCTTATCTAGACTTAGAACTTGAGATGTCTTCAGAAAGAGACCAGATTCCTCGCATTTGAATCTTAAAAGAAAAATTAGAATTGCGTAGTACTCCGAGATTGTCTAAATTCGTGAGCGAAAAATTATTTTAATTTAATTCAAAACCAAAGAAATTAAGTTTTGTAATCGTGAATTAAAGCAATACATAAAAAAAAAAACATTATTTAAAGAAATTGCCCATTTTAAACTGATCAATTCAGTTCACCATTTCTTTCTTTGTTGAACCAATTGATCAGTTTTGTATTCACATGTTTCTGGACTTCTTCAATCTATGCAAATTTCAATAATCAGGGTTGGACCTCTCCCTTTATAACAAGTCCCGGTCTGGCTTGGACCTGGTCTGAGTTTTAAAGGTCAAAACCATATGGATAGACTAACAATTTTGTGTGGATAGGTGTAAAACAATGCCGGTGATACGCACCAAATTCTGACTTCTTTTCTTGTTTCTCATTTTCAAACATCCATCAGAAAATCTGGCTTAGACTCTTCGGACTAATTCATCTCAGAATGTCTTGGAAAGGTGATATAAGTCTGGCAATTAATTCAAACTACCTTTTGGAGTCTGTGTAGTTTCTTCTTTTACAAGTTTGGTGTGTTAATCGAAGTTTAATTTGTTATAGATTATTTACAGGATTAGAGTTTAAGAGGTCGCCAAAAAATTAAAACCTGTAAAAAATTGGTGCGGATAATTAATTTCTTAAATTCTATAACTCTATGGTTGGTATTAATTAAGACTCTCTTTTATGCAATCTTATATATATATATATATATATATATATATATATATATATATATTGGTCATTCACAACTGACTTTCTCCTACAAATATGAATACCATGGTCTATATTCTATAGCCTCTTCAAAAACAAGGAAAAAACCATTTGGACCCGTAAATAGAAATCATTTGAGCAACTACGAATCAAATTCTCTCTTTTACATTGACATTTTTCTTCGCACTTGACCATACAAACCGTTTGTGGCCCTATAGTGTCACACGCATAAACCTGGCAAAGTCGTCTATGCCGCAATCCTTTTGAATTGGCGGTCAGTTTTGCGTTGGTCTCCTGTTCTTGTTGGAAAAAAAAAAAACTCAGAATTATTTGGATTGCTTCTTTTCTATATTTAAAAAAAAAAAAACCCTTCTTGGAGCTTTTGAGAATATTCTTTTTTGACACATTCTTTAGTCACTTTTTCTAATTCATATACATCACATTTTCAAATTTCAAAAAATGTTACACTACTAAATTTCTCCCTTCATTTTCAATACTGATCATGAAACACCAAATCCTCAAACGCTCAAAACGGTACAATGATTTAGCAAAATTTTGGTATACGTAAACTCCATACTGCAAATGTAGAATAAAATTTTATATTTTCTTGATTGGATGATGGACTTTGATATTTTTCATTGACATTAGAAGCAAGATTTGTAGCTTATTTCAGATTCTGGAAACACAAATTCCGAAATTTGAACTTCGCATGAATATCAAACTAGAGTACCAATACATGTTTTCTAATTTGAAGTTTGAACACAAACTATAAATAAATAGGCATGCATGTTGGCGGACTTGGTCATTGATTTGGCTCCCCCGAGCAAAGTAGCTTTTGTTAGATCGGACTCATGGGAGGCGGGCTTCTCAAAACTATATGTAGGAGCTAATTAAAAAAGAAATTTCCCAAATTTCTCAAAAATGGCAAGATTTTCTGGCTCATGGAATCTAATAAAAAAGAAAGTACTGTTTTTCGATCGAAGACAACATAATTTCATTATATAAATCTCCACTAATAGTACAAAATACATCAAACATGCAACATTAAAATAAAAAAAGAACGCCTATGCATTCATTTGATAGGAATCTAACAAATTCTAAATTTTTATATTTTAAATGAAATAGGAATCTATGCATTATTTTGTTTTCTTCACTCTCAAAGTAACACATGTTTAATAGATCTTCGTAAATATTGAAAGACAGAAACGAGACAATTAAGGTACTCACTCGGTATCAATGATAAAAATAGGTCGGAATTTCTCAAATGAATAATGGGAGAGAATGACGATCCAGATCCACCACAACAACCTAGACCGTAAAATGTCTTTGGGAAACCACCAAGATCCGCACTTAGATCCATCGAGACCCATGGATCTTGCTAAATCACAAACTTAGTAACTGATGATGATGCTTTGCACCTTCAAAGTATTAATTACTGGAAATTTTTATAATGCAGCCTGAGTTCTTTTTCTTTTCTTTTCTTTTTTTGACCATCCATAATTTGAACTATTGAGTAGTGAGAATATTTGTTAACCTAAGATTATATATATATATATATATATATATATTGGAGTAAAACTGATCAGAGAACTATTCCTGCACCGCGCAAGTTAGCAGGAACCACCGTCACGTGCGCATGTTAGCCTCTCCCATCTTGTTAACAGACTCCCACTGGTCGAGTTTTGGTTTGAACGTAATTTAACCTAAGATTATTATCTACTACTGTTCTTTATTATGTCCAAAAATGAGCGTCCAACAATCAATTTGACCAAAGTGGCAAAAATTCGAAGCTTATGTACTATATTGCAACCGATAAAAGTCTGTTATGCAAATTATCAAAACCTTGATACACTTCGAGGGTGTCCCTCAAAAAATTGTCTTCTTCCCCCCCCCCCCCCCCAAAAAAAAAGTTGTGAATGTAAAAGTCATCCAATTGGAATTTTTTTATTTTTCCTGTTAGAATGCAGACTCTTGAGAGAGTATTAATTGAAAAATATGCACAAGAAAGTAGAAACACATATGCTGGACCCAAACTCAAATATTCTCCGTGAGCATATTTTTCTAGTTTTTTACTTTTCTTTCTAATACCACATGTATTGACCCGCAGAATGTGGCAAAAATGTGAGCCAGAGTCAAATTGACTAGCAGAGATCCTTGCATTCTGCAGTCAATTCCGGAGAATTGACTGATGTCCAAATCCTCATTTTTCCATTACCTGTCAATTTGGCATTGGCATCTTTTCTCCTTGGAAAATTCGGACTCATCAGCTCATTTCTATTCATTTTATTTTTAATTTCTCTATAATACAACGATCCACACCCAAAAACAAGAAAAGTTTATAAGAAGTTTCTTCAGAACAGGCGTATTTTATTCTGCAAAATAAGCAAGCAAACCGAGTTACATAGAGATACAAAGTCCAAGGATTACACTTGTAAAATACTAAAACAGGGTGGGCGGATTCGGGTATAAACTAAAAGGCACAAATATCAGTATTAAGGCCTTCAGTCAGCTTCTCTCCATATGATGCTACCAAACCGGGTTAGTGCTTGGGAGCTGATTTTCCGGCCTTAGCCTGAAAGATATTGAAAGAATTGGATCAGCTTAACTTCAAGGTTTTTTTTTTTCAAAAGGATTTTCCTTTTACATCTCTAATTTCAGAGTTCTTATAGTAAATTTCACTTTATTGCGGAATTCAGATAGTTAAATTTATTGTTTTTTTTCAAACATCTGATGTTGTCGGGCAAATCGACAAGGTAATATACTTAATTTATGTGTACCTAAATAGTTGTGGTCATAGTTTAATCTCAATCAATGTGTTTGGGCTACTCCAAAATTATAAAATAAACAACAAAAAAGGGAAATGATGAAAAATTAATGAATATGAAGGGTCAATATAGAGATAGAGGTGACCTTCTTCTTAGGTTCAGACTTTGTGCCAGCCTTCTTGGCAGCTGGTTTGGAGGGAGCGGGGGCTTTGGAAGCCCCATCAGCACTAGTCTTGGCAGTGTCCTTCTTGACCTGCCCAAAGAGCTGAGTGCCCACTGATTTTTCAGCCTTCAATGATGCCATTTTACTTTTAGCTCTTTTAAATCACGACAAAGAAGGAAAAAAATCTGTAAATGTAATGACGCTTAGGAGATTAATTGGGATGCAGGTGCTGTCCTTTGCATTGAAACCTCGAGCCATTTATACCCCATCCGAAAGAATTCGAATAAAGACTTACAGCTCAAGAAATAGTGGCCAAATGGGAAGAATGGAATAAGTAGATATCTACAAGCAAATGCTTCATCAGAATCAGGTGCTCGTCTCTATTATGTATTTTTCTTATGGTTATGTGGCCCTTTCGGGAGTTAAATTTAGTACTCCAGTCTCAAGCATGTCCCGAATATTATTGTCCAAAAGAGATGATATTCTTGATAGATTGATCCCTCAGCACTTGCATTTACAAGTCAGATTATTCCAAGAGCCATCCAACCTGGCTCCCAAGTATTTCTGTATGTTTTTAAAGGGTTTCTAACTTCTTGGCACTGTTATTTCTTTTGTTAGTTTGGGGAATTTGGAAGCTGGTTTAGTTTAATCTTATGTATCTCAAATATTTTTAATGCTTAATCTGATTAGAAACCTTTTTTTTTTTTTTAACGTGGAAGCATATGCAGAAAGCAGGATATTCTCCTCTTCATAGAAATTCAATGAATAACTTCTGTATGTTACAAAACCCCTCAACGGATACTGCAACATCTTTCTTCAGGCAACACCCCCCCCCCAAAAAAAAAAAAAAAAACCATCAACGGATGTGAGTATCAGGGATGCTTTCTACCTCGAACAAAAACATTATGATATTTTTATCCTACCATCTCATACATTGTTAACAATCCACAATCAGTTACATAGTCTACATCTGCATTCGATTATCCAAAAACAAAAGGAAAAGGAGAGAGATGATTATCATAATGTGAAATTTACCATTCACTTTAAATGAAGATAACCAGGCTTGTGGAAAAACATTTGGAAATCCGAAAATTTGTTGATCCAATCTCTATGCGATCGAAAAAATCTCCCTCTGTTCGCGGGTTGATTATTGTTGTAATTTGTTTGTAATATTTCCACTATCGTGGTTTCCTTGTAATCTTATCCAAAAAATTCTCTACTGGATCCAAAACATACAGTTTTTTGTATGGGTTTTTTGTAATGTGACCATCCAATTGGAATTCATTAGTACGCTTAGATCACATCTATCCTACCAAGCAATTATATATTTCTTTTTTTTTTTGGGATAAAAACATCATCATTCGTTAAATCAGTATTAATGGCAGAAATTACATCAAATATTGACAGATACAAACAAATTTGAAAAACAAAACTAGAAATTACAAATATGAAAATGCAATAGAATATTACATCGTGAAGCTCAAAAAATACTTAAAAGATAAAACGCTTATTATTCCATGACTATCTGTATATGCTTCCAACACCATCCACCGCTTGTTTTCTCCCAAACTATTTGCTAATAAACTAATTCAAGTCCAAATATGTTAATGTGAGATCTAATGAGATTGATCTCAAGGATCTCAATATGAGAATAAAATTTTAGATGAACAACACTTTCTTGATTATTATGCCTCATTGCATTAATATACTTTCCTAATTAAATATTACTTATTTAAAAACTATAATTTGAACTCCATCATGGGCACTATAGTAGCATCATAGACACGGTAAAAGTTACAAAAATATTTAAAACTCTCTGTACTTGTCTAAGATTTTAGAGATTGGCATAAGTATCCAAAATTTAGTAGATGGTGATACTTAAAACTTAGAGGTAAGGCGATGGACTAGTAAATTAATAATGGGCTTAGACAATAAGCAGTTAGCAAGAGTGTGCAATTTTGAAAATCACTACGTTAGAAATTTTCTTATTTTACTTGAGTAAAAATTAATTATCAGCATTTATTGCAGATTAATTACATGCCGTTAATTATCAGGAGCTTGCGCATCATGTGAACGGATGACACGGTGATTATGATTAATGTATTTTTTCCCCCCTTCAATTGATATTTTGCCACAAATTAATTAGGAGAATAACCTATAACTGTCAAAACGCATAATTGGCTACATCATATGCTCCCATTTAATGAATCATCTAATGACAGTTTTCAACAGAGAAGAATTGACAAAGTGAGGAGTCAAATGAGATGGCCCTTTTGACTTTTTTCTTTGGCATACCTGGTAGCTTATTAGTTTGGCAAAGGTTTCTGAAAAAGAGCACTTAAAGAAATATTTGTTGATAAAATCATTCCAGAGTTCTTGATTTCTGCATAATTTAATTTTAATAAACGAATTCTCACATTTTTATAAACCTTGATGTCTATGTATTTTTGTCCAAGCAAAATGGAGTTTTGGAATGGTAAATTTGATACTAAGATAACCAATGCTATCTTGGGTGATCCAGGATCTCATTTTACATTTTTTTTTCCCCATAGCATCCCAAATGGATATTTGCACCGATTGTGTTCCACTTTTCATATTATTTGGTTTCCAAATATTCCTTGTGGATTTTGGTTCAGAATTAAGGGGGGACTCTTATGCGTAGCCAAAGATCTAAGTGAATAACTGCCTTGTCAGGGAAATTTGCCAAGTCAAATTGCAAAGCGAGTTTAGCTGCAGTTTTGCCAAACTCTCTCTTTCTGAGAAACTAAACTCATGGTAAATTTCTGCGCCTTGTGGCTCTGAAAGTAGCCCACTTGACCAATTGATTAAGGTATTAGCATGAAAGTTGATTAACGTTTTGATGTTCTATACAAATGAAGGCCACATGATATAGCTTCCCCACCCCCTCCCCAAAAAAAATCCCCCAAAACAAAACAGTGAATCTGTCATTCTTTAGCCAATTTTTACTACTTATATCCCACCTTGGGAGGATGAGAATTAAGCTAGTAGTATTGACCTAACTGGTTTTCCAAGCATTTACAGTCTGATAATCGACCTTTTTCGCTCACAATTCTTCTCAGGAATGATAGATTGTTAGCTTAAACTGCAAGATTAATATCGTAATAAGATTTATATGTGATTATTAGGCCAAGCTAGGAAGGGAAAAGTTACATAGATGGATTACAATCCAGCGGTGGTATAACTTCGGTAAACTAAGGGACAGCCGGGAACAGGCAAAACCTTAACTGACTGTCATAGTGTCATACTTACTATATTACAATATTTGTAACAGCAAGTCAATCATCCTTGTTCTTAGTTCTTTGCTGCAGCTGACTTGCCACCTGATGCCTAGAAAAACCAAAGTAAATTATTTTGAGTTCAATTTTGCACGAAGATCATCTGACATTCGACAAAATTTAAGCAGGGAAGCATGTATCAGCTTAATAATACTAGTACCTTTTTCCTTGGCTCCCGAGGCTTCTGCTCGGTCTTCTTAGGGGCTGGTTTGGAGGCTGGAGCTTTGGCAGGCTCTTTCTTAACCTGCCCAGGCGGTGGCTGTGCTTGAGAACCAGCTGGTTTCTCAATCTTAATCGATGCCATCTTTAGAAGTTAGCTTTCTAACTGTTGTAAAGCACTTCTAATTCGGAGGCCTCATTTTAATCTTTCAATCAACACCGGTATATATAGATCATTCCAGTCATCCAAAGAAATGGTATAACTGAAGTTGAGGCCTACTGAATAATTGCGCAAAGAGCTTGCATCAGATGCTTTTAGCATAAGTCTGACAAGGAGAGGTTATTCTGTAACTAGCTTTCAAGTTTGCATGCCAGTTATTATGGTGCAAAAAATCAAACAACTGTCATGAACTAAATTGAAGAATGACTAACTCAGATTCTTCAAGGGCTGTTTTCATTGCTGATACTTAGCTTAATTTCTCACATATGGAATAAGTTCTTGAAATTTAAATTTCATATTCCCAGAGTCAGCATAAGAATACCAGTCTCAACTCTCAACGTTATCCTGAGCCTAGTTGCCTCAGATTCTCAAGAGATGTGACATCTGCAGAATAGACTACTACTGTCATAAAGAATTTGCCTTTGGTAATTTTTTGCCAAGGCCCATGCGGCAAATGCTGAAGCTGCCAGCACAACAATTCCTGTTACGAATATTTTATCTTTTCGCAAGATATTAATATTTCATTGCTTAAATTATTTGCCTTCACAAAAATCATGTAGGAGAGCATAATCATCGCCCCCTAATTTGGTTTCCGAGCTGTTATCGACCTCTTGAAATTAGATAGCTGGGCTGCCATACTTGAACGTCGAGAATTAAGCTGATTAGTCAAAGCTGACATTTCTCAAAGAATTAATAGCAATGGTGATCACAAGCATCAGTCTAATTCAGGAAACATTAATCTGCAACTTGGAACATTGTGAGATGGTAAAATGATATTTTATAATTAACCATCTTCCCCTACTAAAGAAGGAAATGAAGATAAAGTTGCTCTCCTCTTGACAGTTTCTCTTAATTTTTGTTACTTCATGTACAAAATGACAGAGTTGTAGTTCTGAGAACAGTCGTGGAATGCATATGTCAGCAGCAAGTTGAGCAACCTATTCCATTACTGCTCTGTAATGTAATCCCCAGACCACAATGCGAGTTGGCTATTATTGTTTTCATGTTAAAAGTTTCCAAGAATTTCTCTGCATTGTATGATTCGTTGAGAAAAATTATGACCAAGTCAGCAATGATGCAATTTTAGAATCTATAGCATTTTCAGGCTCTGCAAGTGGGAAAAAGCTGAGCAGCATTGTAGTTTTATGTAGAATTTTATGATACATGATACAGTTTGGAATCACATTTCCTGCTCTGATATTCTTATTTTTGTTATATGGTTTAAATGGTTCATATTCCCCACAAAAGTAAAACTTTTTGAACATGTGGACGCTTTTGGAGCATGCCATTTGTTACATGATCCTGAAAAAGGACAAGTTCAATTTATGTAATTCAGAATCTCAATTTACTATTTGAAGTTGAGTTTCGATTGTTAGGGCAACAGACTAATGCTGGAACATATGAATCAGCCTTGGTGGCCTAAGAATACAAATATCAGATTGACCTTCCCCTATTACAGTCAATGAGGTTGTCTCAACCTCAAAGCTATGTATGCCAATAGCCTATATCCAATTAACATTACAGCCAAAGCAGCCACATCCATGCCCAAATTCTCAATACCTAGAAACTTGA